ATTCTGGGGGGGGGGGGGGGGCAAAAAGTGATGGACCCAAAATTTTCAGGAAAACGTCTCGATGGCCTTCTCACAGCGGTCGTTTCCACTTGTTCCGTGCCCTCCACAGCACGGTTTCGCGCCCGCATCTCGCTTGTCGTGGCGGCAAGTCCAGCCGTCTAAAAGGTATCATCACCGCCTACCTGCCCCCTTTTTACCGGAAGGTTTCCGCCTGAAATACACGTCGCGGTTTTCACCAAACAATATCGAGCGTCTTAACCCGATGTCACACTGCCCTATTTGCGTGTGTCACATAGAAGCGCAGTATGATTTCGGTGCAGGCCACTGACAGCTGCCTTAGGCCGATTTACAAACACGATGAGGTTAACACAGCAGAAATACTCGGCTCCACTCGTCCTATATGATATTGAGCCATCACAAGGGTGACCTATTTACATTCAACAGCAATATTAGCTCGACAACCAGCCATATATGGTCGTAAGACGCTGAACTCGTAGCTCGATACGGTTATCAGGTGCATGTCACTGGCTTCGTTCAATTTGCACCCGAAATGTCCGGACCTTCAGTGACAATGGATGGGTGGACAGGGCTGTCTTCTGCCGGGAACTAAACTGGTTCAGTGGAAGGGTTTTGGAATAATTTTTGATACTGAAAGGGAATGGAACATGATATGATTCAACAGTGTGTTTTATGTGAAAAATCCTGTGAAAGGGAAGCGTAAATTACAGCATCAAATCCTTGGTGTTTTATAGTTTTTGGTGCTCATCACGCTATCACGAAGTTACTATATTTTAATGTAATTTGTTTCAGTGTAATGACCTGAACTATGAAGAGTAAACACATTTTTTGTCATGCCTATGATAAAACGTTCATGCCAACTTAAAATGCATGCCTTCATTTACCGGAACATCTCTCACTGACACATAAGTTCCAGCCTTTAAATTTAATTTTCACTCCTCTATTGGCTTTCTGTGGTGAAGTTTTGCACCCGCACCCTAGCTCAAATGTGATTGTAACCAACAGCTGTGACATCGTCTCATTAGTACCTCTGGACACGTTGAGGCCCCATAACCCAGCATTAGAACTTTGATGCGTGATTTTTCCTCAAATATCTACACATCGCGCTTTGGACTTACCAAAGCCTGTAGTTGCACCGGAGCGTTTGGGGTGACGCGGAAGTACAGATGACATCATTAACTTTATTTCAGGCCTCATCTCTGGTGTCAACACGACGCCTTGGTCGGTAATTTCTCGGGCCACCGTCATGTGATAGTTGGTCCTGGGGAAGACCCGAGGTTGTTCGATCTAAAGCTATGTATGCATCACATCCTTGAAAGCATTCGGTGGCCCCAAGCTTCGAACCAATGGTCTCTTCGATGCCCTCGCTGAGATGCGTGTTAACAGGGAACGGAGCCAGCTGGCCATCAGCTGTCGTATCTACCGTGGTAACCATGGCGACATCGCTGCTCCGGAAGGCAAGCCACCATTTCAGCGTCATTCAGGCGCTCAAGAACGACGGCACCGCTGACATGCTAAAATGACCAAGGAAGCTTCATGGTCTCTGTGAATTAAGTGCATTGTGATACACAACTGAAAAACGCAGTGCGCGGACAGCTCACGCCATGTAAAACAAAGGTCTTGCGGTTAAAACACACGACGAGTCGTCCAAATCCAGAAAGAAACAAGGATCAAAAATACCTGACAGGTGCGCAATACAAGCGACAGAGTCGAAACCACTGTAAACTTCTACAAGTGTACGGTCCACCAAAAATATTCCCGAGTTCTGCGAGCCATTGAAGCCAACTGCCAGCTGCTCAGGTTTAGCACGTGATCTGCGGATCCAGTATCTGTTCAGGGTCGCTAGGTTCAGCACGTGATCTACGGATCCAGTATCTTTTCAGGGTCGCCAGGTTCAGCACGTAATCTACGGATCCAGTATCTGTTCAGGGTTACCAGGTTCAGCACGTGATCTACAGATCCAGTATCTGTTCAGGGTCGCCAGGTTCAGCACGTGATCTACGGATCCAGTATCTGTTCAGGGTCACCAGACTCCCGAGCAGAAAAGCATCATTGCACGCGAAAAACTCCAACAGCAAGCCGGCACGTGCTCTGCACCAGTATCACGTCCTCCAGCGCGCTGAAGTGCTGGCCGCAGCTGTCGGCGGTCAGCGGCGAGCACGTGTCCGGCAGCGGGCCACTACGACACGCTCGGCTGCTGGTGCTGCTGGTGCTGCTGGGCAGGAGACGGACAGCTCGCGCAAGACTTCCTTTCAATGTTCGGCTTCGAACCCCGGCTTCACTGTAATGCTGCTATTGCAAGTTGCAGAGCGATCTTCATGGGCTGATGTCACGCTGTTTCTGTGTCCGTTCCCCATCCCCATTTCCCCAAATATACCCCAAGTACGCATATGCTCATAGTGTCTTCCTCTCAAGGTGGTTAATTAGAGCGTTTTACTACGCTGCAAAGCCCGATCAGAGTAGATATTCTAAGATCAAAGTCCCATATATGGCTGATCGCTCCATTAAGGATTTTCGATATGAATGCAATCATTCTTACGTCCAACAAGTGTCTCCAAATTTGTTTCTGACCGGCCGGCAAACAAAACAACATGCATCGATTTTCGTCCCAGCAAATTTTTGGTCCCAATCAACATAACGAAACATCTTGTACGCGTGGGTGGGCCCGTTCGGTCCCACCAAGCTTTTATGAACGGAGCCCGAGAGAGGGACTAGGACCAGGGCCGCAGCACAGCGCTGCGATGCGGCACAGCCTACCCGCCAGTGGCCAAGGAATTGACGCTCGGTGCAAAAAACAAAACTGGCGGACTGAACACGCGTGGGATATGGTCGATCCAGAGACGGCAAAGGCGTGAAAAGTAGGGACAGCCGTCTCCATTTCCGAGCAGACTGAGAGAATATTTGCTAAGCATCGCATGAAAAGAAACGAGGTGAAATCCACGTTAGCAGCTCCTCGCCCCTGCGGACACGTCGTCTCCACTCAGCCCGGCCCTACCAACGCCACTGTAGTGGTTTCACACCTCATGCACAATAGTGTTGCGCTTTCAAAGATGTCTCACCCAGCACGCCAATATTCTTCGCGTTCTACAAGTATGCCACTTTCAAAATGCACAATCCACTCGCAGGAATGTAGTTTGGAGGGCGGAAAACCCCATCCTTCAACGTGGATGCCAAATCCTAGGTACAGCCCATTTTGGAGTACTTTAGTGGTTGATTAAGCCTTTTTTTCTGCTCAGCTTCCTCCATTTATTTTTGCGAAACTACACCCCCATGCAGTCGAGTGCAAACTAGAGGCATCTCACGAACCTCTAGTTTCGCTCGTTTTATGTTTCTGTCGTTCACATCGTTGTACACAGTTTCTCCCCCTTCCGTCAGAAATAAAAAAAAAAACAGCACCCACTAAGTATGTGCCGCGTGTCGATTGCCTGTCTTGACCTAGCTGCAGCATCCGTGAAAGTTCTCCGCACTAAGCGTCCAACGCCTTGTACGGCCTGTCGCTTTAGGGAATAAATATTACGTTGTCGAAGCTGAGAAACTTTTCATTTACACTCTACTGTACAAGTTTCTGTGATCTTTTTACAATGCCAACAGTCTGGGCCCCTAACACCTTTTATAGCGACAATTGTTTTAAATTTTAAGGACTTGTTTGCTTTGCATCCTGCCTCATAGCACGGCAGTTATGAACGCTGAATGCAAGGATGAAGTCTCGCAAAATGAAATGGAGGGGAGGGGTAAACAGTGAAAAATGGTCAAACCTACCCACAAAGTACAGCAACAAATGGTTCTTTTCCCCGATTTTGCCCACTTTTTCTTTAGGCTGAGGAGGATGGAGTTGGGGGGGGGGGGGGGGGGGGGGGCTTGGGCCTGAGTTATGGCTATGAGAGGCTCTGGATAAAAAGTACACCCCTGATCATGCGACCATTCATAATCGATGCAGCCGAAAGCCCAGATCATCATTATGACCACCAGGAAAGCGACGCCATCTCATATTTGTAAAAGACTGGATTGATGAACCGGAACACTGCTGATACGTACCACAATTGCATGCAAAAAAGGTCAATTGAGCCCGACTGAGTACTCTCTGGCTCAACTATAGGGCTTCATTGATCTGAATTTTGGCCATCTACGTGAGTTACAACGCCCTTAGTTTGGGAAAATGGAGCCTACACGTTTCTATTTCATCTGTCTATTCGCGCTTGGCTTGGCTTCTGCAAACACCTTTGTCTGCCACCACTCACCAGTGATTTATGACACCGACTTTTGTTTATAAAGTTAGCCAGCCTACGTTGATAGTCTTTTATAGCCTTTGTACTATATATTCTATAGCGTGGTGGTATCTAAACATAGATATGTGCATGTATATATATATATATATATATATATATATATATATATATATATATATATATATGTGTGTGTGTGTGTGTGTGTGTGTGTGTGTGTGTGTGTGTGTGTGTGTGTGTGTGTGCTTCTGTATGTGTGTATTAGTAATTCGAGGAGAAACAGTCAGCAATTAATTTCACTCCCTGAAAAACGTATTCCTCCATCCACCATTGATGCGAACACGGCTTACGTGCATAGTTATTACCCTATATCGCTGCTGAAATCAGTTCTATGTAACGAGTCATTCAGATCTGACTCATGCCACGTTGAGCACGTCAGCCACCTCTGAATCATTATTTCGGCGTCCTCAGACCTGAATCTGGCCAGGTGCATCACAGGACCCAGCCTGTTATTTACCGTTGGTGGTAGCAGTGAAGGTGTAGGGACAGGTCTGGTTGTATTCATAGTTGGTAACGCCGCAATCAAATATCGGAGGAACTCGGAAATGCTCCAAGGTCGCGGAAGGCACGTGCCAGCAATGGAATTTTAAGCTTGGAGGTAAATAGTAGCTAATCTGGTAGCTCTTGTCGGGCAATCTGCTACCATATCCCTTGTGGTTGACAAATGCGTGTGATCAACACTATCAGCCTTGACAACCAAGGCCGGCGTAAAAGTGCGAGTTGCTGGCACTTTGCGTGAGACTCCAGGGGGTTCCCGCCGGGCAATTTGCGCTGATGGTGCTATTGGCTGTTGCCCATGAAACTGCTGTGATCACTTCAGGCACTGACGCCGAGCTGAAGTCAGGCCAAGAGTTGAGAGGGGAACGAAGAGGGTAGAGGCAGAGAAGGCGGGGCCTAATTTTTGTCACGTAAGAAGGAGGTAGGTGTGGCCGATTTTCTAGAAAGCAGTAACGTAAGCCTCACGAAGATTGCTGTATTGTATTTTAAGTTGTGTCACACCATAGATGTAAATAAGTTGTATAGGTGGAAGACAGCACTGACTACCTAGCTTGATAGTATGGTTGTAACAATTATGTCCGCGAAGCTTCTAATATTACCAGCTTTTCTATTGTCATTTATTTCTTGGGATTTTCTGGATGGCATGATCACGTACACTGGCACTTTTAACTTTACTGGCACCATTCACCCACACTGCTGTCTGGCTCACATCTACCTGCCATGGGTACCAATGTCTAACATCAGATTCATAGTGACAGAATAATGCTCAAAAGCTTGTAAACTTATCATACATATATTATGATTAAATATGCTTATGGTAATGCTAACAAAATGAACTTATCTGTGGCCTTTGCATGAAAGACAGCACAACCTCAAAATTGTAGAACTTGTCAGTAAAACATGTGCAGTGGAATCACCTATGCTTTAAACATGTGTGCATAAAATGTAACTGGCCAGATTTGGGAGCATCACAGGAATTACAAGTCTCTGCTCTCTGGTATGGTCATGTTAAGACATGGTTAGCCTGCAGCCTGGTTTATAATATGAAGATGGTGATCAAACACAGTGACAGTAATGACCCATCCAGGGGTCTGCGTCCGTGGCCACCTCCAGAATGATAGGTGGAATTGTGCCTGGTTGGTTTTAAGCAGGATCAGTTTTAATGTTGTGATGCTATTACCTGAACTGTTTTAACATTGAGGTTGGTGCCCTTGGCAACATTGGGATATTGCTGTTACAGAATGTTTGGATGTGCACTATAGCAGCAAATATTAGATGATGCTAATTGGATGAGTAACATGATGACCTATTGAGAGTAAAATGAGATTAATCTTATGATCTTAAGGGAATGAATATGCCCCAAAAATGTATATATATATATATATATATATATATATATATATATATATATATATATATATATATATATATATATATATATATATATATATGTATATATATATCTATATGTATATATATATATATATATATATATATATAATCTTTGTGGTTTTCTCAATATACACATCAAAGCAAACACTTGATCTAAATTGTGTTCCAAAATAATAGTATGGTGATCAAACATAGGAACAGTGGTTACCCATTTAGGAGCATGAATGCATCATCTTACCTTCACAGTAATAAGCAAAAGTATGCCTAGTTGGTCCTCAACAGGGTCAATTTTGATGTCACAGTGACATTGTGGAGAAGGTTTGGTCAAACTGTGGCAGCTGTCATGGGTGGTTGACCTCCATCTTGATGGTGACTTCTGTCTGCTTCTGCTCTGCAGCCATGGAGCCTGAAACAGTGTACAACCCAACCACCATCACCAGCCATGGCAACCGCAGCCACTACCTGGACAACATCAGCTATGCGTCGCTCAACCCCAAGCGGTGTGCCAATGTCGCCATTGGTCAGTTGGAGCTTATGTGCATCAGTTCATCATGTTTGGCATAGTCTGTTATCTCATTTAGGTTTTGGCAACCTGTTTGCAATGTGTTGGATGCCTTTAACATGCATGAAATGATTGGATATATCAAAAAGTCCCATTTAAGTGAAAAATGTAAGAAATTGTGACAATCTCTCTTAATTCACCTGATCTCTTCCTTTTTGTTGGGAGTGCCTTCTATGTCCTGTCATAATTATAGAACTATCTTACTTAGTAGGAAGCTAATAAGAGGACAGAGGCACATGATTCTCTTATGTGATGGATAACATATAAGTCCATGCTATTTTGGTCAATTAAAAAAGCACAGAATGAGGAACAATTCAAGTTTTTATGACATGTCAGGGTGGGGAGGATGTCTGAACACCATAAAGAATATGCTTAAATTTGTTGCTAGCCTCCGATGTGTATTGGTGGGCATGCATTTCCCTCTGCCCTCCACGTGACCTCCACTGACCTGCGCCGGTGTCCCCTGACCTCTGCTCTGACCTCTCCTCTGACCGTCTGGTCTGCTCCGACTGTCCGGTCTGCTCTGGCTGTTGGCTCTGACCATCTGGTCCGCTCTGACTGTTCACTCTGACTGTCCACTCTGACCATCCGCTCTAACCACCTGCTCCGACCGCCTGCTCCGGCCATTCAGCTCTGAGCGTCTGCTCTGACCTTCTGCCCTGACCGGCCACCCTGACCGTCCCCTCTGACCGTCTGCCCTGACTGTCTGCCCTGACCGTCTGCTCTGACCATCTGCTCTGACCATCTGCCCTGACCGTCTGCTCTGACCGTCCCCCCGACCGTCCGTTCTGACCGCCCGCTCTGACCGTCCGCTCTGACCATCCGCTCGGACCGTCCGCCCTGACCGTCCGCTCGGACCGTCCGCCCTGACCGTCCGCCCTGACCGTCCGCTCGGACCGTCCGCCCTGACCGTCCGCTCGGACCATCCGCTCTGACCGCCCGCTCTGACCATCCACTCTGACCGTCCGCCCTGACCGCCCGCCCTGACCGTCCGTTCTGACCGTCTTCTCTGACCGTCCGCTCTGACCGCCCGCTCTGACCGTCTTCTCTGACCGCCCGCCCTGACCATCTGCTCTGACCGTCCGCTCTGACCGTCTGCCCTGACCGTCCGCTCGGACCGTCCGCCCTGACCGTCCGCCCTGACCTCCCGCTCTGACCGTCCGCCCTGACCGTCCGCTCTGACCGTCTTCTCTGACCGACAGTGGTGGTGGGCGTCATGTGTGTCATGATCGGGCTGGCGCTGGTGCTGTACGGCAGCCTCTTCTACGTCAGCTTCGCGACGGCGCCCGAGGCCGAGACCAGCGCCCAGCGCGAGCGGCGCCTCTCCGAGCTGCACATGTACCAGGTGTTCGTGTGGGTGGGCGCGCCGCTGCTGGCCGCCGGCGTCCTCCTCTGGATCGCCTACCTGTACCGCACCGGCCGCTGCAAGTACTGCCCGCTCTGTCCGGGCGCGCGCAAACGGCGCCGCCTCCGCAAGAACTTCCAGACTCAGGTGCGGGCCGCCTGTGCGGTGACGAGGGGGACATGGGAGGGGGAGGGACGTGACAGGGGCTGAGGGTTGGGTTGTGGTTGAAGCTGGAGGGTGGCGGTTATAACCTGACCTAGATTAGGTCGCTCGTGGGTGACCCCAGATTGCGCTATTCTCGGCTGAATCTAGCCTATGGCATTTGCTGTCGAGCTCGGAACGTGAATTATAACTTGCACTTGATATTTGATGTAGGTGTTTTGTAGTGTCAGAACCTTTATCCCCATGCTTGCCACTCCGCTTTCCGCATGGTCCGTGCCTGCTGCTCAGCATGCCCTCTTTAGCCATGGCGTGGGGGGGGGGGGGGGGGCACCAGGTGATGTTGTTACGGAGGTTTGATTGCGTCATGTCGTCGCTGACGACCAATTCTAGACGTGACGTCCAGACGTGACGTGACGGACGTGACGTGACGGACGTGGCGACGCTGACGCGTCCTTGCGTCCCGTCTGCGCGCATCCCCCTGCAGCTGGATGACGTCATGAGAAGCGCTGTGCCCAGGGCCGTCTGACCGGGTTCAGATGTGCCCCCCCCCCCCCGTGTCCTCCTGACCTCTGACTGTGCCACGGCCGTGAGCCGTCCCCGCGCCCCGCCGCGTGCTGACGCCGGGCTCGGCTGCGACGTCGCCAGTGTCTGGAGGCGGGCAACTTGTCGTCCAGCTACGCCAGCCAGCCGGCCTCGGCGCTGCCGCAGCGGGAGGACGATCAGCTGATGAACCACAGTCTGGACGAGCCCACCGGGTGAGCCGCCCGCCGTGGGGAGGAGGGAGGGGGTGCCGCCGCCCAGGAGGGCGCGGGAGCTGGAAAGAGGCGTGATCTCTTTCGCATGTTTTAGTGGGTCGGGCAGGTGAGGAGGGCGACACTCGCCCGTTGTAGTGTCGTTACCTCTGAGTGCTGCGCCAGCTACTGACGCCTGGCGGAGTTTGGTGTGCAGATTTTGTGTAGTACGTAACTACTCGATAACCCTCTTAGACGCCACCTGATCTGCCGTTTTGTTTGGCCGATTTGTGCGTGCTCAGCGCGGGGTCTCGACGCATGGGGTGGCTGGCTGCGTGGCCGGCCCCAGCATCACGCGGTGCTTTTTGCCCCTGGTCGGGGCACAGTTTCGTCCCGTGGAATGTGAGAGGGCGGGGGGGGGGTCGCCTTGGCGTGGGGGGGGGGGGGTCATGCTGGTCCCAGCGGCCCCTCAGAGGTCGTGTGTGTCGGGTGGGTCGGCCGGTCGGAGCCACTCCCCGGCCAGGGCCGCCGGGACCGCCCGGACCGCCGGCGGCACTGTCTGACGCACGCCAGCCGGACGGGGAGTTACGTGTGGGAGAAGGAAAGGGGGAGGTGGAGATCTCGCGGGGTGATGACTGAAGGCCAGAGGACAGCTCTTCTCCAGTGGTGCGCCATGATAGAGTGGCACGGTCTGGAGCCGCTTGCTGTCGCGATAGCGTCCCAGCTGGGAGTGGAGGGAGCGGGGCGGGGGGAGGGGGGGGGGTACAGCGGGTAACGCCGGCACGTGTCGCCCCCGGGTTCGTAGGCCGTCCCACGGCACGGGCCGTGCGTCGTACCGGGCTGCTCAGGTGGAACTGCCCCGGGGATGCCGACGAAACTCTACCGCTCGATTCAGATGATTGATGCTATAACCAAGCCTGCCCCAGTTGCTCTCGGGTCGTCCGACTCACCAACCGGCTGTCGGGGGTCAGACCCGTGGCAGGCCCGTCTGACGCATGTGTTGAGAGTGCGCTCGGCCCGTCTAACGACGCATGCGGCGTGCGTTGGCGTGACCTTGACCCTGACCCGGACCCGGCCGCCAGTCTGGAGGACACGGACGCCATGTTGTCCAGCAGCACGCGTCCGATCCTTCGGCCCATGCAGACATCCATCTAGTGGGAGGTAGGTCAACTGGAGCTTTCGGCACCGGCCGCTTCGACTAAAGGGTAAGGTGATGGATATGTGTCATGTACGTGTGGTGTGTATTCTACTAGATTTTCGGTCGCCAATTTGCCTGCGATCGAGATCGGTGACAAGATCCACACGCATCCTTTACTTCTGTCTAGATCAGATAGGTTGGTGTTGTTAGGAACAGCCGGTATGCTGGCACCATTGATTTTGTTCCGAAGCAGAATCTCAAGCTTCCTTCCGCTAGTTCGCCACGGTGCTCTGGTGGAGTTTGTCCACGACGTTTCGCTCTGCAGGTGAATGAAAGTGTCCAAATGCTGTGCTAACCCGTTGATGTCAAGAGTTGGCGGCTGAGGCGTGACTGACGAGGACGTCGCTGTCCGGCCGCTCCAGCGTATCGTATCGTGCCCGATCTAACCCCACCCCGGCTAACCCCGCCCCGCCTGCCCCTACACCACTCTGCCCCGCCTGACCCTACCCCTCCTCGTCTGACCCCACCCCGCCCTGGGTGACCCCGCCCCACCGGACCCTACCCTGCCCCGGCTGACCCCGCCCCGCCTTCCCCCACACCACCCCGCCCCGCCTGGCCCCACCCCGCCCCGTCTAACGCCACCCCGCGCCGGCAGCCGGCCGCCGCGCCTGCTGCTGGACTCGGCGCCGCTGGCCAGCCAGGAGGACCTGTCGGCCCGCTCGGTCGAGACGCTCTTCCTGCCGGCGTCGCTGTGGCCGAGCTCAGTCTCGCTGCGCCGCCTTCCCAGCGACCTGAGCCTCTCGTCGGCCAGCCCGTCGCCGGAGCGGCGGCCGCCGCGGCGCGCCGCCTCCGGCACCAGCCTGCGGCCCTGCGCCGGCAGCGTGCGCAGCTATGCCAGTGCGCCTGCGCGCGGCTCGACCAGTGAGCGCGCCTCGCCGCGCCCCACTCCGTCCAGCACTCCGTCCCCGTGCCGCGCGAGCGGCGCTCGACCGCGGCCTCGTTCTCACGCCAGCGTGAGTTAGAGTGAGTGTGGTGAGTGTAAGAGCGAACTTGTGTGTCGTGCGTTTAAGGATGAGTGCTGGGTCGTGGTGCTTGACGCACGTTGCGCTCTCATGGTCGACGGCCCTGGGAAGCGCCATTTGACAGCTCTGATTGGTCGGAATTTCAGCACGGATGAAGTGATTGGTCAACAGCGGTTGGTTGTCCGACGATGATTGGTCAGTAGCGGTTGGTTGCCTTGCGATGATTGGTCAGTAGCGGTTGGTTGCCAGGCAGTGATTGGTCAGTAGCGGTTGGCTGCCTGGCGGTGATTGGTCAGTAGCGGTTGGTTGCCCGGCGGTGGTTGGCCAGGAGCGGTTGCTTGCCCGGTGGTAATTGGTCAGTGGCGGTGGGTCGCCCGGTGGGTTTATCGTTGTGGGCGTAATCTTGGAGCTGTTTTCTCTCGACGCTCACTTTGTACCGCGTCGTGCGACGCACTGAGCACCTCTCAGTTACGGGCAGCTGGGTTTTTCGCCCGCGATGACACCTGGCGGTCAATAATCTGCGGATCTGCATCATAGTCTAGTCTTTTTGGACAAAGCTGTTTTACACATTGTTAGTGCGGGCACGCATCCGACTTCCTGGATTGTGGAGTGCCTTCTCTACCGTACGATTACGCTGTTTCGCCTGTCGTGCGTCATTAATGATGCTGTTTTTGTGGTGTTGGGCACAGTTTTATCGTCGGCGATTGTACAACTGGTAACGTAGTGCTTTAGGTCTTGGCAGCTCTCGGTCAGTTTTGATCGATTAACTTGAGCTCTTGCTTTACGAATCAGCTTGAGTTGCGTCGTTTTTATGAGGTCTGATTTCTGTGGCACACATGGGCTCATATATGAGAATTGTGACGTCATTTGACGTTCGTTTGTTCCTGCACCACCGTCTGATCAGAGCGCTGAGGAGACGACGCCTGGTCGTCATATGACGTGAGTTATTTGTTGTGTGGCGTTCGGGCTGTGTGCTTTGACGAAAGAAATGTGAATAAAATGCTGGAATCAGTATGCACATCTGACAGCTGTCCGCTGGACATACGGCTGGAGAGCCCTGACCTGTGAGTCCGCTTCCTTCGTCGCCCCCTCCGAGGTGCCGACGCGCGCTGCGTCAAGCAGGTCCTCCAGGGCCGCATTCCTCATTGGCAAAGTACCTGCTTGCATTGCTACCTGTGACGCCGCAAGTACGTTCGTCATACGTGAGCGACTATCCTCCAGGCCGTAGGAGCTGTTGTGACGCATGTACCTCCGATAGCGTACGTTGCAACTTGCTGACAGCTGTTGGTAATGGGCAACGCGGTCCAGGTAGGCCATGCCGATCATCAGCCCTGAGCTCGGCAGCGTTCCCAGATGCTCCGCACACGGTTAACACCACTGGCAGAGAGGCAGGCACCAGACCTGAACGCATCAACGTCGCCCCGAAATTCTGTGCGCGGTTGGCTCCGCTGGGAGAGAGGAAGGCGCCATTTCCGGGGAATTGGTGACGCCTGCGCGCCCAGCGGGTCTTTGCTGAGCGCACCCCTAGACCGTAGAATCAAGCTGCGTGGTCAGAGGGCCGCTTCAGCGTCTGGTCTGCTTCAGGTCCGCCGCTTCAGCGTCTGCCAGTCTCATGATTCTGTTCCTACAGCACACGCCCTGCAGTGGGCCAGCGCTCTCGGTGATTACTGCAGCCTTCCGCAGCTCCAAATCGAACAAATCTTGGAATGCATGCTATGTATTCGGCGATAGTCCATCACGAAACACAGCCTACGCACATCAAGTTTCACATGAACGCACGACAGCAGCACAGTTGAATCATGCCTCAACGCTGATTGCCCTGAAGGGAATTAACAAATATAGGCAGATGTCCATAACAACGGGCCATCTCAGACGACGGATGAATAATCAACAAAAAACATCGCCGCGCCAGAACAGGTGCACACGTGGAGCTGTCGCTGCCCAACATATTCGGGCGGGTGGCTGATGACCACGGCGGCTGATGGGTGAGCCATCTGGCGCTCACTTGCTGTTCGGCCAAGTATCTGGACGGACTCGGCTTCTGCCGTTAAGTCTCAGTTTTTGGATCGTTAGAGTCGCTCGCGCCGTTGGAGTTCTTGGCAACCGTGGTCGGAGAGCCCTGGGCTTCCCGCTGCTTCTTGCCCTCTTCCGTAGCTAGAGGTGGCTCTTTTTGATCCTGGTCGTCATCAGGGACACCATTTCTTTTCTCTTGGCTCTTGTCTTGGTCTTGAACTTCTGACGGTTTTTCTTTGTCCTTATTTTCAACAGACACTCCTGTTGACTTGTTCTGGTCCTTGTCTTCATCAGGAACTTTTGGTGTTCCTTGGTTTTCGCCCTTAATGGGAGCTTCTGGCTGCTTGTCCTGGTTCTTTTTATCGGAAGCGTCAGATGGCTTTATGTTTACCCCAGGCACTTCAGGAGCTCCAGGAAGCCTCTTCTGGCCCTCAGTGTCATTGGGAACACCTGACGATTTCCTCTGGTCTTTTTCGTCATCGGGAACTCCAGGTTTCATTTGGTCTTTGGCCCCATTGAAAAGTTCAGGTTTCGTTTGGTCCTTAGTCCCATTGGAAAGTTCAGGTTTCGTTTGGTCCTTTGTCCCATCGGAAACACCCGCGGGTTTCTTCGGGTATGTGCCGTCATCAGAAACCAGGGACTTCGTTTGGTCCGTGCCCTCATCTGGCACTCCTGAAGGTTTCTTCCCATCCTTGTCCTCACCAGGCTTCTTCCGGTCCTCATCCTCGTCACCAGTTCCGGCCGGCAGCTTTTCCCGGTTGTGATCTTCGTCAGCCAGTCCCCCCACCGCCCTCCGGTCCTCGCCGCCGTCCGGGCCCGTCGGCGCGCTTCGCCTCCTCCTCACCCTCCGGCACCGGCTGCTCGTCTGGCACGTCCACCGACAGGCCGCCTGCCCCGACCCCGGCCGGCTCGCCAGCGGCCGTCTCGCCGCCGTCCTGGCGCGTGGGCGTGCTGAAGTTCTCACCGCCAGGCCAGTCCTCCGCGCGGAGCTCCCGACGGCAGGCGGCGCAGAGCGGCGGGGCGCCCGGCTCGTCCGCGGCGCCGGCGCTGGTCGCCAGGCCCGGCGCGCTGCTGCTGCTGCTGTCCAGCTCGCTCTCGGCCGGCGTCGGCGTTGTGACAGTGTCCCACTCGCGCTTGTACAGGTGCAGGTAGACGAGCGAGTAGACCGCGTAGCCGAGCACGTGGTAGAGCATGCTGGTCTCGAGCGACCAGGCGAGGCGACCGGTGGAGGGGAACTGAGCCACGCTCCACAAGTTCCAGACGTCGAACGACCAGTGCAGGAGCGCGAGTCTCTCCATCGCTGAACAGGCCGGCAGCCGCATGGCGAACACGTTCAGCAGCAGGAAGAGCAGCTTGAGCAGCAGGCAGGTGGCCAGCGTGGCCGCCCGCACGTCCCGCGCGATGTCCGCTAGCGGCGTCGGCAGCAGGCTCGCGAACTCGAAGTCCTCCTCCGGCAGGTCTGCGCACGACATGGCGTCCCGGGGGTCCAGCGCGTCCGTGGCGGCAGCAGCAGCAGCGACGCGGCGACAGGGGAGGGAGCGCCGCAACGGTGACCGCAGCAGCCTCGGGGGCTGTTGGAGCTGGAGCAGGAGCTGATAGGACGAAGCCTCAGGTCCGGTAGCTGGTGACAGCAAGCCTCAGGTCCGTTAGCTGGGGACGAACAAGCCTCAGGTCCGGTAGCAGGTGACAGCGAGCCTCAGGTCTGGTAGCTAGGGACAGGCGAGCCTCAGGTCCGGTAGCTGGGGACGGGTGCCACAGACGCAACGGCGGCGGGGAGCGCGCGGGCACGCACGCGTCGGCGAGGACGGCGACGGCGACAGAGCAGCACCAGCCGGGACGACCACCGACCCTTTCCGAACGCCAGCCGCCGCAGAGTGCGCGGCCCGGCCGGTGACCCGCTGACCTGGCCTCGGGCGGGGTCGGCCGACCGGCGCAGAGGCGCCCCCAGGTGACCGGCCGGGTCGGCCGCCCGGCAGGCCCGTCCCCAGCGGGTATCCGTGTTCGTCATGGTCGGACTGGTGATATTGACGTGTGCACCGTCAACTTGTTTTGATCATTGTGATGCCCACCGTCCATGCGGCAATCGAGACCCCCGGCTCAGGTCCACGTGATTTTCACTTGGTAACCGCTCCTGACGAGCTGAAGGGCTCGCTGCAATGCTACAACACGCGGAGATGGCCATGTTTGATGGTTGAGACTAATACCATCACCTGGACGAAGTATTATGTCCGTGTCCCTGTTTTTACGCGACGGAACGCGCGGCAGAGAAGTGTGTCCTCTGGGAGGGAGTTCAAATTTGTACGTCATTTGTGCCAGGCAAAAATACCGACGACAGTATCTAATCCTTGTTCATAGTTGTTCCTCTGGGAACATGAATCGCGGGGCCGCCGCTCACTAATATTACAGCCAATGAAGGACATGGCCAAAAGAATCGGTGATGTAGTTTTTGGCCATTGGAGTTAGTGAACTTGCTGATGATGTTGGGCTCATAATATGGAAATGTATTCGGTCCATATGGCTGCTCAGGCAGACAAACAATAGTTCGTACTTTGGGAACGTGAGGACGAGCTCATTATGCCTTAAGTCTGGTACTACCGCAAGCCAGCTGTCAGTCTCAGTCATTAGACTCTGCCAACACACGTTACAGTCAGCATAAATATATTTCAAACGCTGCAAAACATTCACAGTCAGGAGCGTATGCACATAGGTACACAGCAGGCAGGTGCCACCATCGCCTTCTTCAACAAATTTCTGTCACGTGCTGTAATGAACTTAACTTGACGCCGACAACTACAAATTTCAAGCAGTCACGCAAAAGGAAATGATCGAGAACACCCAATATTTGTTCGACGGCACATACAAAACTTGCACGCATTTGTGGTGCGTCGGATTTCAGTGAGCATGTTTTAGCTGTTCGGACCCTCCCCCCCCCCCCCCCTTACGAAACCCTGTGTACGTCACTGCTCATAGAAAATCCACTGGAATGTGTCATCATCGCTACCACAGTGCATGGATATTTCAGGAAATCCCAGCATTAACGCATACGGTACATCTTCACATAAATGGAACTCTGCAAGAATGAATACATACCTAATTTGTACGTCATCGGCTTAAATCGCAGCATTCGGTTACAACACATACCATAAATACATAAATGCACAATGTGATAAGCTAGTGCACACGTTGGTCAAGGAGTATAAAGCAGATTTTGTTAGTTATCTCGTTTTCCAACCCGCGGATGCAATATAACTTGGTTCTAACACAGCTACCAACGACAGGGGTGTGACACTCACCACGTCCTTCCTGGCTCCATTTCGTCACCTTGCCAGGGAATCGTCCAACCATCGCTGCCTCGCCACTCGCACAGCCGGCAGTGGTTCGCATAGTCCCCACTGGGCGGCGCTGATCGATGCACGGTGCTGAACACGGCTACACGCAGGCTGTGTTCACACGCGAGCTGCGTGTACAGAACCGACTGCTTCCGTTGTTCACGGGCGGGACTCCTCGTGCCCAGACTTGACAAGGCGACGCCCGTCGGAAATCGAACTAGGAACTTGAGCGGTCTTGAATCCCTCACCCCCTCGCCTCCCCCCCCCCCCCCCGCCAGTGCCAGCAGCGTCCACCGAAGGAAGCCTTTATCGCACTGACCGGAGCAACCTCACGTGGAGCTGGCTGACGCCTGAAGAGAGATCAAGGCGGCGAACGGTGCATTGTGTTGACGAGTTGGAGAAGACCGGGGCCCGCCGATCACGTGCGGGACAAACCACTGACGGACTTGGAGAGGCCCGGGGCCCGCCGATCACGTGCGGGACAGGTCGCTGGCGGATTTGGAGAGGCCCAGAGCAGACAGCCGACCGTCGGGGGTGGCGCTGCTCGCCGTGCGGCCTGCCAGCGTGTCCAGACCATCGGCCGTGCTGCGGCTTTGGCAGAAGGATGCGAATCAGACACGACAGACGCGGCGGGGGGGGGGGGGGAGGGGGAGTCGCCTACAGTCAGCGCGTGTCGTCCAGGAGGCGTCTGTCGCGAGCACCGGGATCAACCATGTGCAGACGCGTCCAATCCCACCTGGCTGCTGTCATGACCCCACCAAGTAAAGTGCTCCGCGCATGACGATCAAAGCCTGAACCCGGTCGTCAAGATCCGGAGACAGACAGCCCCAACCTCCAGCCGGTCACGCTGCTCCCCCTCCTCCTCTTGCCCTTCCTTTGGCGCGGACACGACTCAGGTCACGTCTCAGGGCTGACTGGCCAACCCACGCTTTACTGCTGTCCGAGCTAAGGTCACAGAAGGGACAGTCACTGCTTCAGGTCACGGAGGGGACAGTCACTGCCTCAGGTCACGGAGGGGACAATCACTGCCTCAGGTCACGGAGGGGACAGTCACTGCCTCAGGTCACGGAGGGGACAGTCACTGCCTCAGGTCACGGAGGGGACAATCACTGCCTCAGGTCACGGAGGGGACGGTCACTGCCTCAGGTCACGGAGGGGACAGTCACTGCTTCAGGTCACGGAGGGGACAGTCACTGCCTCAGGTCACGGAGGGGACAATCACTGCCTCAGGTCACGGAGGGGACAGTCACTGCTTCAGGTCACGGAGGGGACAGTCACTGCCTCAGGTCACGGAGGGGACAATCACTGCCTCAGGTCACGGAGGGGACAGTCACTGCTTCAGGTCACGGAGGGGACAGTCACTGCCTCAGGTCACGGAGGGGACAATCACTGCCTCAGGTCACGGAGGGGAGAATCACTGCCCCAGGTGACGGAGGAGACCTGAAGCACCTGCCGCCGATCAATCCAAGGTCAACAGCCGCGTCTGCATCACAATAGGTGGTAGCACGCGGTTTGCAACTTCAAGCCCGACTGACCAACACTTTACCAACAACTGATCTCGCAGTGATTGATGACGGTGGCATGTGTTATTAATACTCAATTATTACCTACTGATCTTAACATGGCTGAAAGTAGCCGCGGTGAGAGACCAGTAAGCGCCTCTCAGCTTCTGTACTTCTCTGCGGTGAGCAATGGCCGCTGCTGGCCTGTGTCAGATGATCTTTGACCTGGCGGCCCATGCCGAGCCGACACAGCCTATTGCCGGTGTGCTCGTACGCGTTGGAGCCTCAGCAGCTGAGTGTGTCGGTTAACACAGTCTCGGGTGAGACGAGAGACAACTTGACCCCCTCCGGAGGTTTTATAGAATGATGGCGTAGCCGCGCCAAGTTTTGCAGAGCTGTTTTCAACTGAATAACATAGCTTTTGGTATTAAAATTTAGACGTACCTTATAAGATCGCTGACCTGGCAGGTCAAAATCAGGTCATGGATTCAGCGATTTCAATACATAGAGAATCGTTCAATCTTATGCAACAACGAAGTGACGGACGTAATGTGGACGTAGCCATAGATATGAACGAAGCCATGATATAGATGTAAGGCAACACAACTGAATTAACAAATTCATCTGATCTGGGGTCGGGTGTGAAGATCAGACCAAGGTCGAAACCATCCCATTTCTTACCCCTAAGCTTAATGTGTGGCATAGTTCCGGGTGATCATTTTGGATCTGTTAATAATACGGACCGAATCATAATTTTCCATGGACCTCTCAAAGGTCAGAATAGGCCACTGACCAAAAATGACCCAGGTCAGCGATTTGTTTTGAGGGCATACCGCCCAACGTAACCCTTGATGCTTATGCATTGCAAAAAATCAAAGCGATCTTGCATAATGTTGATCTCCATGACCTTCAAGTCGAACAAAGTCACTGACCTTAAATGAGCACAAGTCACCTTTTGCTTAGAACAGGTAGTTAGTCTCACGGCGGCTGCATGAGGTCTGGAGGCTCTTTGGACACCGATTTGGAGCATTTGATCCAAAGGTCATGGTTATGACCAAAGGTCCTGATCCAAGGTCATGGCATGACAGGGACGTCAAATTTTGATACAAGCGAGTTCACATACGGGCCAATACACCCTGTGAACGTGGCGTCTCTAGATCTCTTAATTTTTGAGAACTCATGGGATTAAAGTGAGCCCCCACCCGACCGCAGGGTACTCAACCGGCCACCCACGCGCATGCTAAGCCTCATTGGAACACATAAAGTAGCGATGTAGGGACGTGGCCAGCAGAATGGGAAGGCTGCCCACAAACACATTTTTAGGGTCATTGCATTGGTGTTAAGATGTGCCGCTACCTTGCTGTGCTTCAGGCATTGCATTTTGCGAGAGATTCGGCATACCTACAATGCCTTCCCACTTTGTTTCTTCTACGATTAGGCGAAAACGCGACCTACAATCGGCATCGCTCTGACTCCGAAAAAATCGTGTGAAAACAGGAATATTCTGAGGTGTCTTTTAGCTTAACGGACACAAATCTGAGTTGTTTATTCAGCCGACCTAACCATAACGCTAGGCCCGTAAATGCTGCCCTACACCGGTACCCCCATATTTGGCACCATGGCACCGAACTGCGTCACACATATGGCAGGCATATTGCGTCACAAACATGCCTGCCATATTTGTGACGCGGTTCGCCCACAGGCGACGGCGGTTCGACACGTCGGCGAGCCAGCACCTGCCCCACGCATGGCGGCTGGTGCTGACGCTGGACTGGATGGCGCGGCGGCACGCCGAGCCGGCATCCTCGAAAGCCAGCAGCGAGGCGCGGGGGGGGGGGGTGCAGCACACGCAGACGTCACGAGCCCAGGACACAGTTTATTGCTGACGACGACTTGACGGTACGAAAGGACACATGACGTCATAAAGGTACAAAAATACAAAACAGGCCAGCGACGTGGCTCTTCGGAAGCGCCTGATGTAAGCGAAGCACGTGTAATGGACAGACTTGGAAGCGCACGGTGAGGTAACGACCACGTGTCTGTACACGTACGTGCCACGTACTTCAGAACGTACCACAGACTATGGGATCCAACATACAACGGCAAATGAAAGACCCCTTTTGATCATTGGGAAACTGGAAACCGACGCGATCGGATGTGACGTCACACAAGTCCTAACTACCGCCGCCGGTATGGAGTCCGTCTGGACATTGCAAAACCGGGGTTGAAACCTCACAGCATGGCATACAACTGTTCAGCCAGCCATGAAGTCTGCCAAAAGAAACAACACTGCAACAGTTACCCTACGCTCATGAACTTAACTAACAACTGCACTTCACACAAACTGCCTCGGAGAGCAATGGCCGGTACAGCATGCAAATGACTAGAAAATGAAAGCCCAGTGATGAGTACACACAAACCGGACCAACGGCTAATCTCAGGCGTGTTCGCGCACAGCTGCAATCGAATCTCGGCAATATAACCAGCTCACGGACTAATGTCCGCCGCGCTCACGCACGCGTTGCATTCCTGGCACGGATTTTCCCGTTTTGTAAGGAGTGGTAGAAAGTGTCAAAACGACATAACACCGACCACGCTTCAGAGAAGAAAGTCCGTTTCGCACGGGACGGTTGGTGGCGAAACTTCACCAAAGATTGCCTCGCGACTGGTACTATTCCGGCGTCGAAAAGCCTTAAAAACCATACGACCGTCCGGCCACAGACTCATGCAACGGGAGAAACGTACAAAAACAACGAGAAGAACGTCATCTAATTGATCAATATAAGCTGGATGTGGTTTCTTCTTTCCATTAGGATAGGTTCTACTAATCCCTATCTTACATTAAGAATGAAAGCCCAGTTTATAAAACATTAATGCTGATGAACAATTAGTTCCACAGCGAAGGGTTACGAATAAGCACACAACTGGGAATAAAACAGCTAGCATAAGAGGGTAGGCCTGTCTTGAGCAAATACAGCGGCAGACATCACGAAAGGTGATCCTAGCTGAGACGATATGGAAAATCCCGTTTTTTGCGCTTGATATGTGATCACGCGGATACCCACAGCAGCAAACACTTAATTCAACCGATGAAATCAGTTCTCATTCTTTGCTCTACCTTCAGGATAATGAAATACTCATCACTATCAGATCCTACAGGCGTGAACTACCTGAAAGCTGGGGGTCTTGACACTTGGATGACTGGTGTTGAGCAGGAAGATGTTCCCTCCCCCCCCCCCCCCCCCACCCTGTCTGTCCGTGAGCCCGGCCATGCTCGGCTCCGCCAGCTGCGTGACACCGGCCCGTCAGCTGTGACCCCAGCGAGCCCCGAGCACCGATCTGCCGACCCCGTCCGGAGCGTGCGTCTGCCGACCCCGGGTCGGCCGACACGGACACACGGACACACGGACAGGGACGGACGGCAGGCAACAGGCAAGCCGACGAGCGACTGGACCGACACACCGGCGCCCTGGCTGACGGACACGCCGTTGGCTGACGGACACGCTGCTGGCTGACGGACACGCTGCTGGCTGATGGACACGCCACTGGCTGACGGACACCCTGCTGGCTGACGGACACGCCGCTGGCTGACGGACACGCTGCCGGCTGACGGACACGCCGCCGGCTGACGGACACGCCGCTGGCTGACGGACACGGACAGCCTGGCTGACTGGCTGGCTGGTGGTGCCGTTACCTCAGGCCGCGACGGCTGCCGCTCTGTTTCCTCCGGAGGCAGGCAGCCACTGCGGGCGGGCAGGACACCCGGTCAGTCGGTCGGCGGTCACAGGCCAGCGGTACACTCCCATCACAGCTCCACACACCTCCGGGCGGCCTACCGCGCTGGGGGCGCCGGCCTCCTCCGTTCTGCTGGTCTGGTATGAGCTTCTACGGGGTGTGCTAAATGATAACCGAGGCAGCGTGGTGAGCCAGCCCGCCGAAGACACCGCTGACACTAGCTTCCCGGGGTTACTACCGACAATGCTAACTAGGAAGGCGACTGAAGCTAACTAAGCCAACGCAAGCGAACAGAACCAGGCCACACAAACCAAGCACGACATCCGCGGTGGGCAGTCGGTCAGCCGCGGCGGACTGTTGTCGAGCACGTGACCCAGACGACGCCAGAGCGGCGGCAAAACGAAACAAAACCGAACGGACCACTCACCAGCGCCCGGACAGAGCCATGCAGAGTCTAGTGACCACCACCACCTCACCCAGCACAGCTCAGAGTGCAGTGTTAGCGGCCGTGTAGAGGGCCGGCGCCTGGTTAGGCGCGCGCCACCAGTGACGGCTGAGGTTGTCAAGCAGTGACTGTATTGTGACACACTCCCACCCGCGCCGCTCCATCCTCCTTGAGAAGGGCAGACGGGTGAGACGCGTCGTGAACACCGACCGTGTTAACGCATGCAGAAGCGTCCGATGCCGGCGCACAACAGGTTAGACGCTCAGTTATTCGCAAACCAAAAGAAAGCTCCCCGAGCACTAACGCATACGGCCACGCCCAAGGGTCACACAAACTAAATATACTGGTGTCACGCCATTGCCACCTGCGGATAAGCAAACCAGTGCAGGAGGATGGGAAGTGGGTCCGTGGCCAGTAGTGCGTGGCACACGCATGCAAGGCGACGGCACGGAACTCCACGGCGGACTTAACAAATCGAGTAAAGGTGGGCACAAGGCGGGTCTCGCGATGGTAGGCGTACATACGGCCATCGGGGTACGAGGGGAGCAGACAACACGGCGCAGACGTCTCACTCAGCGACCCCGCCGCCGCCCGAGCCTCAGCGTCACAAACGGCATAGAAACCACGCGCGAAGCTGAGTTTAAGACAAGCGACCGAATAGCCCCGTCTCAACGCGCTTCAACAACGGCGGCGTCATATCTGCATACGTGTACAGCGACTGTTCGCGGAGCAGAGGACTTAGAACACAACCCTGAAGAACCCCACGCCCCTTGCCGCCATGATTGCGGCCTGAGCGAAGCCGCTCGAAGTTCGCGTGCTCCACCAAACGGAAGTGCCCTCAGGAGGGACTCCCGCCATGACGACCAGTCGGCTTCCATTGCCGTCTACAGTTACGCGCGCGCTCGATGACCACGTATCACGGCAACTGAGCAATCAGGCCCGGTCCAGGTCTGGTCACACCGCTGCTGGGTGACGTCACATTCCGTAATGTGTTCGCCTGTTTTGAGGCCCCCGAATACAGCGAGAGGCGAACACCTCGGAGACTAGCGAACTATGGAAGTGCCGCGACCCAGACCGGGTCAAGGGTCCCTTCCCGCCCCGGCCACCGACGGCCACGGCATCCACCGCCGGGCCTGCGCGGAGCTGGCCAACACCGACACCCAGCGGCGTCTCCCGCCACCCAGCGTCCCCACCTCGCCCGCCCCGGCCAGGACAGCGAGCGCGCGCCCCTCGAAACGAACAGGAGCGGCGACGCACTCAGCACGCCCGGGCTGTGGAGTCTACCGACACTACTGCTGGCGCGGCCGCCGTCAGCGCGCCGTCTAGCACTGCTCCATGCGGCAGCGGCCCTCCACCGCGACCTCGGCCGCGCTCGCGCCGGCCGCGGCGACGTCTAGGGCGCGGCGGCGCCCCTCCGTAGCTCACAGGCGCAGTCCTGCGGCGTGCGCGGCTGCTCCAGCAGGCCGTTCAGCACGCCCATCCAGGCTCGGCGCTCCTCGTCCGACTGCGCCGAGAACAGGTACGTCCGCTCCGGCGTGCGCAGGGTGAAGGAGAAGCCCTGCGGTCGGGTCGGCCAGAGGTCAGGCGTCACGAGACGACGCCACACCCGGCGGCAAGGCCTGGGGGGGGGGGACCCGCGCACCAGGAGCGCAAGCCCCGGCAGATGCGACCTCGGCTTTTGCAGCTCACGACTGCAAGTGACTAGCATATAAGCAAAAACGGTAAGATGACGAGCCGCATGCCACTGTGCGCGCATATGAATCAGGAGCATCCTGTCAGTCTCTTCCGGGTGCGAAATCAAAACGGGCTCACGTCACAGCGTCGGCCGGGCAGACAAGGCTGCTGCGGTCCACGCGCCCTAAAACCCAGACACCAACACGGCAGGCGCACAACGCCCGGCCTCCGTTGCACGCACAGGGGTGACGCGACCCCCCACCTCCTCCGACGGCGGCGTCAGCCGACCGGCGGCGCCCACCGGCCAACTCACGTGGTCCTTGGAGCCGGGCGGCACGTTCAGTCGCACCATGTAGTCGCTGCTGTCGCCGATGGGGATGGCGCCCTTGGGCACCGGGTCCTGCCGACAGAGGCCGGCGCGCCGTCACCACTCGCCGAGAGCGCAGCGACCCGACCGGGCGGCGCGCCGTCACCACACGCGTCCCCGGCGGCCGCCAGCTGCCAGGCGGCCCGCGCCGGTCCGACTGCGGGGCCTCAAGCTCGCCACGAGCTCATGGTGTTGGTAATGATTAGGCGTGAAACACGCATGACCCGTCAGATGCATGGAAACCTAACGCGTCCACCCCCGCTGATTTTTACGTGACGTAACGCACATGAACCAGCCACTGAGTCAATGGCAGGCTTCAGCAAAAGACCACACCTGACACAAAACATTTAAATGAGTCAATCCTAGTGCAAACACTACCATTAGGATCTCCCGACATGCCCATGTATCATCCCGTCCCGCCACCATGCGCCACAATCGTCACGTCTCGGCATTACTTCCGTTCCCACTTGCGCCCCGCTGCCGCGCAGTCCCCCGCGATGAGATGAGACACCCCAGGTGGACGTGCCGCCAGCGCGCGGGGCGCACGGGGCGCGGAGCGGTGACCAGCGGCTGCCGACCAGCACGCACCAGCGGTCCGTCGTGGTACATCAGCTTGCGGCCGTCCAGCGTGAACCAGCGGCGCCGGTACTGGTCGCCGGCGCGCGGCCCGATCTTGTACAGCCAGCCCTCCAGGGCGAAGTCGTGCGTCAGGCCCGACCGCAGCTGGCGGCGGCGAGGCGGCGCTCGTTCACGGCGGACTCCGCGGGACTCGGGCCGGCTGGGCGTCGGGGTGACGCCCGGCGGGGCTCCCAGAACGTCTGGTGCGGGCTCACAGCCAGCTCAGTGGGGGGCCAGTGTGGCTAAGCGGGGGCCCAGCATGGAGTGAATGTGGGGTCGATGTGGGCTTTGCTCGAGGCTTAATGACGTGAACTAGACGTGGTCCCGGACCAATTACCGTGGAAGATTTTCTCAAGCTCCGAGCGGGATATATTTCGTGTAAAGCAAGCTAGATCCGAGCTTAACGTGAGCAACGGCGTTACTGAGACAGATGCTTGTCACATTCCACACGGCCGGGCCCGGAGGGGGAGGACATTTACCAGGTGGATGGGAGTGTGTGACAAAGAGCGAAACAGAGGATCAAACAAAGAGGAGTCCAGGCAGGATGCTTTGCTGTCCACATGCATGTCTACCAGCATCCCAAAAGTCAACTGTTTGCCGATACATTACAGACTAAAAATGCCTTAAAAAGCAATGTCAAATCGCAGTCAATCCATCTAACGGTTTTTAGCTAAGCCCACAAACACTGCCATCTATCACCACTTAAAGGGACTGCTCCACATTCGTATGGGGTTTTGGACGCCTAAAAAGCTATGCTCATTATCATTCCTTGCAGTTCACCGCCATGTCCCTTAAGAACTCCAATTACTTGCCAAAATGCCCAAACACACGCGCACATGGCGGCTGGCAGAGCAAGTGAGTCATGCCGGCCGGCAGAGTGGCGACTCTGGCGGCGTAAGATCGTTCCATTACGTTACCAAAGACGCAAAGATGAGGACAATTCCTAGGTCGCGAAATGCCGTTTAGAGCAGCCTCTTGTACTAAACGCTTATCAAAAGTGACAAGTGAGCTTTTCCCATCATATCTGATGTTTGCCTCAACATCTTAACGTGTGGAACAGTCCCTTTACGGGCGGCAGTGGTGCGAACGTCTAGTTCCCGCCGCCTCCGCCAGCTGGCAGCAGTGTAGCTACGTACCTCGGCCACCGACGTGCCGGGGAAGGCCACCAGCAGATTGTTGAGCTTGGCATTCCGTATGGCGTTGTACCAATCCACCACCGTCTGGCCGTCATTATGGTACACGTAGATATGTCGGATGCTCCCTGATTGAGACGGCTGGGGTCAACGGATGTGGGGGCGAGGCACCGCGTGACAGGGGCGGCTAGCACGGCAACAGCGCGTGACAGGAGCGGCTATCGTGACAGCACTCCGCGACAAGGGCGGCTAACGCGGCAACACCACGTGACAGGGATGGCTGACGCGGCAACACCGCGTGACAAGGACGGCTAACGCGGCAACACCACGTGACAGGGGCGGCGAATGCAGCAACACCACGCGACAAGAACGGCTACCGCGGCAACACCACCGTGAGGCAGGAGAGGTGCATGACCAAGAGGGGCAGTGGCTCCCAGAAAGGAAAGCGCACGTAACGACCAACCTGAGTTCCTTGAAGATCGAATGGGGGAATAAAAGGACGCTTTCGCAACCATGTTGGCTGCCTGGTTGCAAACAAGAAGCATAAGCTTCCACATCCCTCGCTGGCATGACGAAGAACCCCCCCCCCCCTCCCAATGAAGCCAAAGCGTGGCAGGGCCTCCGAATTTTCGGTCTCGTCACATTTCGCTGCGTTCAGCCCGCGACCGCCAATGCCAGCCTATCTATGAGCCAGCGATCTTCCCACTGAAATCACTGACTGAAATCAGCCACTGCGATCATTCGCTGCACTTCATGCAATTACCCACAGCAATCACAAGACATTACAATCACACTCTGCACTAACTCACCGACCCCGAGCCAACCGCCCGCTCGTTGCAAACGCATGCATAACCTCGCTGGTCGGCAATCCCTCCCACCAGACAGCCACCACTCCGTCTGAGAGACTCTCTGACGGGTGCCATCAAGTCTGCGATCGAAAATAACCTAGACGACCCGTGCACAACCTCGTGCACAACCACAACAAGGCCTCAACGCGACCCTGCCCTTGTGTGACCTTGACCTCACCGTCCGAGACGTATGTGATCTGCATGCCGTTCGGGTGGCCGACCTTGTCCGGCACGAACGCCACGTTCAGCGAGTTCAGCATCATCGTCAGCTTGGGGTCCTTGCCCTGCAGGGACGACCGGCACCGGTCAGCAGCAGCCATCGCGTGGGGCCGGCAGAGGTCGCGTCAAGGTCACACCATCGGTACGCCAGCCGGTATGCCCAGTTGTCATCGAGATATCCGCGTTGCGAGACTGGTGCAAGGCCATGCCACCAACTTAACTTCAAATAATTCTAACTAATTATCATAGGATGCCAGACACCTTGCTTCGTGCCTGCAATGCGCGAGCTCGATGACAAGGCCGTCTTAATGCGCCCCACCATGTCCAGTCCGCAGTCCCACGGAGAATCCCATCACAAGCTCGACCCCCATCACCCGGACCCGCCGTCGGCCGTCGCCGCACGGCGGCGGCCCGACGAACGTCTAGTTTCCGCCGTCGCCGACAGATGGCAGCCGTACCGCCTTGACGTGGTACGAGAGCACGTTCTGCGACTCCGAGAGCACGAAAGTGCGGATCTCGAACTTGGAGCTGTCGCGGCCACGCTTGAACAGCGAGCCGGTCTTGGTGGAGGTGGTGTAGGCCACCTGGCGGTCCGGGTAGACGAACTCCATCCGCTCGTACTTGGCGCGGATGAACTGCTCCAGCAGCACGCTGCAGACGGAGGCACGCCGGCGGTGAGAGCGACGATGCCACGCACTACATATGGCTCGCGATTGTGGAAGCGTCGATCGCTCGGACAGGCGGCGAGCGTGTAACTACTCGACAGCCTGGAGCGACTCATCAGTCGTGCGGGGACCGAAGGCCGCACAGGACTTCAGCTACGGTCACATGACTGGTAAGAGCTGTGCAGCTGTCTCGCTGAAGGTTCGTTCGTTGTTCTGCAAATGGTTGGCAACAAGCCCCACAAAGAAGTCACTATGAACGATCGTAAGTGAACGTTAAAACCACGCGATAAATACTCAGCCGCCTTCCTCAATGATCAAGTTGTACACAACGTGACGAGGGCCAGAATGAGGACCATTCACGGCGCAGCGATCTCAACATACAGCAGCCTCACCGGACTTGGACCCCGGGTGGCCCTCGTCGCGCCAAGCTCAAAACCAACCAAGAACAAAAGTCGGCCCGGCTGGAGTTCCTGCACCCCAGGCGCTCGCTCTCCGCCAATCCAGCGTCAGCCTCGGGCACGCTCACGCGCTGACAGGTTGCACGTACTTGGGCGCGAGGCAGTCCGGCCGGCGGTAGCAGTCAGGCACGTGCTGCTCGTAGTGGGCGTTCACCAGCGTGTTGCCGTTCTCGGCCATGAACGCCAGCTGGCCGTCGTCTGTCCACCTGGTGGCGCAGCAGGCGACGTTGGTCCCAGGCGTCACTCGCGCGGATGCCGCGCGGCCGGTACGCGCGCGCAGATGCGACCACAGGACACGTAACGGACGGCAGGCACGCGGTGACCGGATGGCGCACTCCCCCCTCGGCGAAGGACAGACCACGTCGACGCCGTCCGTCCTGCCGCAGTCCAGACAAACACACCGCACGCACATCGGCGCCCGCGGTCCACCTTCCGTAAAACGCGACAGGTAGACGACCTCACAGCCCACACACGGGAAGCGGCTCGACCGGCCGCCTACAGCCGCCGGCACACGAGGCGGCGATCACAGGCGAACACCGCGACCGGCGGCTCGCCAGCCATCGACACGGACCGCTCCTCCGAGGACAGACGTCGAGGTCTCGACGCCAGCCGATCGCAGTGGCCAGCTGCGGGCGCAGCACCATGGCGGGGTCAACATGTCATGCGAGAAAGTGGGCGGCTGCGTCCGTCGTTAATGGCTGTTGCCGGCTGTAGCGGCCGCTGTCCAGTGCGCCCGCGGCGCCGGCAGCTGTGCCGCCCGGTGGGAGGCCGCGCTCACCTGTCGTGCTTGAGGTGTTTGGTCTGCGATATGTGCGTGCCCATCTGCCGGTGCACAGCCACGCAGCGCGTGCACAGGAACACGCCCAGGTTGTGCGACGCGTACTCCACATCTGCAACAGCGGGCACGGGCTGTCGTAGCGGCGCGTGGCGGGGACGAGGGCGGGGTCGGAGGTCACAGCACTGCACGGGTCGGTCTGGAGGCAGCGGACGCCCGCGGCGCACACGACCACCGGCCTTAACGTGCTGCCGCGCCAGCTGTAGAGCTCTGACTCATACATCTGCCGGATGCTCGCAAAAGCGCGTGAACAAAAACAACGAACCAAATGGCCAAGATAAACAGACATGCTAGCATGGGACAGCACGAATGGTGAGTGGCACTGAAAATGCCGTCATAGCAGACCAGAACCAAACTGGAGGCAAAAGAGTTAAATACTTTAGAGACGACAGAAACCTGTCTTTTCACGCACAAAAACCACAAAATCGATGCACACGTAAAAGCGGTGGATATGCTCGCAGTGGTAATGCACACTAAACATTATGATCATGCATACGCGATTGGCATGCCTTCAGCCCTTATGTCTCAAGTTATGGAGCTTGTGTGTTAGAGCACCTATGCCATCAATAAATCCGTGATTTACAATTGTCTGGAATGAGCGGAAAGTGTTTTCCAAAGAACAGTTCTCAACTTATCCAGAGCCTGAGATCCTCACATACTACCGCTTTAACGCTCTGGCTTTAGCCAAGCCGAAATCAACCAAATCGATGTCCTTATTAGAGCAATAACGTGCGCCACTTGCCTCCGGATGTACCCACGTCATGGCTACACTTAGGCAACGTAACTACAGAGTGCAAATAGAACTCCCACCAACTGGAGACTTCAACGAAATCAGGAGTCAATCGCAACCATGGCCATATGTGATATACAAACATTTTTAAAACGTCCCGTATCTTTCATGTTCACGAAGCAGAAGTCAGTGTGCTGGCGCTCCATAAAAGCGGCGTGGTAACGGATATCCCGTTGCACTTAACACAAGAAAAACAAAATCAATACATGCATACCGACAAGACAATGCCAATCATGCTACACCCAGTACGGCACACTGGTCGCCTTGCCCGCCATGTACGTCCAAGGTTACAGCGTGCGTACACCGTCGCATGGGAAGGCAAGACCCGCAAGAAGTGGAAGTACTACCACCGCGTTTGTCAAAGCAAAGCGTATCCTAACCCATTTTGAATCCAAGTACAGGACCACTCGCAACTAAACACGTGCCCTGAAACATGTGGTGCGTCTGGTATCGCCGGGATGTATCGAGCCCATTCAAACTGCCCCGCAGTGGGCCGGCGGCGATATACGGCTGCCCGCCGGGAGATACCCCGCGCCGCTCCGCCGGCCGCCGCCGCGGGCGGCGCTCGCCGGGGGCGGTCGCCCCCTCCCCTCCGCTGGAGGCCGCGCTCTTCCGGTGCGGCCGTCCGCCGCCGGATGATAGCGGCGGCGGCGGCGGCGGCGGCTCCAGCGCCATCCCCCCCCCCCCCGGGGGCGTCGGGAGGTGCCGGGTGCGCCGGCGATCACGGCGGTGGCCAGGCCGGCGACGGCCGCCGGTGGCCGTCAGGCGGATGATCCCGACGGCGGGGATGATCACGACGGCGGGGATGATCGCGGTGGCGGGGATGATCACGACGGCGGGGATGATCACGGCGGCGGGGATGATCACGGCGGCGGGGATGATCCCGATGGCGGGGATGATCACGGCGGCGGGGATGATCGCGGCGGCGGGGATGATCACGACGGCGGCAATACTCGCCGTGGGAATTAGTCTAATCGGGAAAGCACCCATGGTGATGCAGTAGTCTGACCGGGTCCACCCCTGGCCGACGCCGGACAACGCGGACACCAGCCAGACTCTGGCGTTTCCGGCGAGGCTGCAGTCACACTGAAACTCATCCTACTGGCTTCTGATAGCAATGAGCAACAGGAACGCAATCTGGTTGGTAGCCTAGACAAACCAAAACTAAAGCAGCCTGTAGAAATAAGAAGCACATTGGTTTCAATCCTTCTTAGGCATGAGCACAGTTTACAAAGTGACTCAGTCTCCCACTTCTACACATGATACCATTGTCTTTCTACACAGCTTAAGCATTAAAGGTTGCTGTCTACTCCACCAACTGAATGTGTAGTAAAATCAATGGTGAAACATGCATAGTATTGCTGCTTGGGGCCACTATAACCTCTGTTTAGATGACTTGTTGTTTCAAAAATTAGGAGGTAATACAGAGAAGTACTGAACATATCATGCAGTACCTACCACTTGAAGCAAAACTTATGTGATAATGGTAACAGCCATTCAATAGGCACCAAGGAATCATCACAGGTGGCAAAACAAAGGATGTTACTACATGATTTGTGAACAATGTTCTGGAAAAAGTTAGCTACACTGGGCCTAATCAAAGTATTTCACAGATTATTGAGGAATATCTTATCTAAAAAAATGTCCAACATAACTTTACTAGCACAGAAAAGAAAGCTGGTGACACTGTCAACAAAATTTGCAGTGAACTTAACACAAGTTGACTCTATATGCAATATTTATGAATTAGATCTTCATCACCTGGATTCTAAGGACTACTCACATGACTGAATGCATATGAATATATTGATGGAAGGTAAGAACAGGAAGTGATAAACAATGCACATGTTGCTGGTATCTCCATAGAAAACCAGATAGCCTAGTGAGAACCATGAGATAATGCAGCTTAAGTATTTGTAGAGAAACTGGTTTGAGTCTCATTAATATTGGTATATTTTTCTAACAGCATTGCTCAATTAACAGTTACACAGCCCCCACTTTTCCAGATACATTCATGGAAAATCTCTATTTCAAAACAATACATCCAATAAGGAATGCAGTATAAAAAGACATGACTCTGATAAATGATTTGTGGGACAGGATAACCTTAGCACCAACATTGTTGAGCAGTTAATTTAATGCATCATATAAAGTGGAACTGAGGCTGCCCCAACCAGCACTCAGATCTCTAAGAGCTCCAAGCATCTTACTACCACCCATGTCTCTTTCTTAGACTGGCAATACACTCCCAAGCCCTAGCTACAACACAGAAATGACAAAAGTTCTTCTTCATTACCAAAGTGGCTTTACAGCATTCAGCAACTGTGGTCACATGGTGTTACTGATCTCCCACTCTGGCCAGAAGGGTGGATACTAATGGGAGCCAAGCCTCATACCTCGGGTTTCTCAGATAGGCTATGAGCTATTAATACCCTGGGAGAACTCCCTCAACAAACCTTTTTGCACATATGTTGCCTTCAAATAAATTGGCATACCATAATGTATCACATTTGGTACAATAAAAAATGTTCATGTAAAACATGCAGTAGATTCAACATTGTAAGTGCTCATGTAATTCAAGAATACTACATCATTAGATAGGAATCATTCTAAACCAGATGCAACAGTGCATATGATATCAAGGTGTAGGTGTGTCAGTGTAGGTGTAGGTACACCATATCAGGTGTAGGGTATCATAGCACATGAGAGCATCTGGTCTGGTGCATAAGAGCAGCATCCAGCTCACTGATGTCCTGTAGGCTTCCAGTGCACTGAATATTTTTATTTGCAAACCAATACACATGCTTCTTTTCTTCCCCCTATGCCATGATAGTGCCCCACTTATTCCACCCTTCACAAAACCAATTCACCTTAATGACTTTGCCTTAAGTTCATCTAAAGTGCAGTGCAAAGTGCACCTCATGCAGTTTACTTACTTGGCCCCTTACAGTCAGCACATTTTTCATTGCCAGGAAGACTGGCAATTTCGATGATCCTTTTACTTTTATCAGACATGGCTTGTTGCCTATGCAACTGCTATCCACAGCAAGATTCAACGCGTGGATATCTGCAACAGACGCACTGCACTCCCTCGGCCAAAGCTGGAACGGTTAATGGCTTTAACGCACGCCGTATATTGGAAACCAACAGTATCTTCGCAAGTAACACCCGGCACGTATCAAATGGTCCCCATCGCACCACAGATGCACTACAGATGTGCCTTCCAGTTGTAAGGGATGTAGGTAACTGGGCAGGAGAATGGAGGAACCGGCACTAAGGTAGATGGTCCGTGGCTCAAGCACAAAGTGTGGGATGATGAGTTTTTAATGTTTTTCTAAATTTTGATTGGTGTATGGAGTTTTATGACGTCATTTAATGAGAAATGATTTTTGCGCACTATCACTCCACGACATTCGGTAGATTTAGACTTCCATTAGAATATAGTTGGATACATGAGCAACGCTATTTTTTACGAAAATAGGCAGCTAGGAATAAGTGCCCAGCCATGGTGGGGTTTATTTTCAAAGGTACCTACAAAAATAAATCGGAGGTTAGTTTGATTTAAACGTGCTTGAGACTTTACGTTTCCATCATCGGCTGACAGCTTAACTGTAGCCAGTCGTGTGATCCGTGGGATTCTATTGTCAAATGTGATACTGAAGTTAAGATAAAAGGATTATTTCGATATTTAACGATCTATCATTCATGTTTAAGCACATTTTTCCACGTCACAGGGTCTTAATAATGCTCTAGGTATAGTCTATTCATACGCAGCGTAACATCGGCTGAAACTTGTAGGTAAATGCTACAGCTCTAAATGGATTAGGCAAGGGACCCAATCAGCTGACCGATGTAAACAACAACAAAGAGCTCATGACGTATGATGGTGGGAGGATACCGCTGGAGGTTGGTGCCTTGTGCGCATGTTGTGTGGAATGTAAGTCACCCAGATACTTTGTCGGACGCATATGGGGTCCAAGTTGTGGATGGGAATCATGCAGTTACGTTGAGAAAGCGGGAGGGCTAAACGTGCATACTCTGTACTGTTACCGGTTTTGCTTTCACCGTAACCATTACGAACTCCCAGTCATCGCGGAGCGTTTCCATTATTTCATATGGATGGATGTTTGTGTTTTATGACAATTTTTGTTTTCATACCTGGCTTGGTTGATTCCTGAGGCTGTTGTACTGATGTCTGTGTTGTCAATATCAGTTCAAATGCAAGTGGGAAACACCTGTCATTTGTTGGTGTGACTGATGTGTGATGGCAGTTATGTAGCACATTACCTGTATCCCAGATATTCCTGCTCTATTCTTTTTATTACTTATTTTGCATGTTTATGTATGGCACAGCTCTATGTTTCATCTTGCATGAAGTAGAATAGTTGTAATTAGGAGTTTGGTCTACTCTTCATTTTAGCATGTGATGATAACTGAATTATGTGACATTTACTTTCAGTTATATTCTCATAGAACCTACATACTTTAATTACATGTATCATAGCCCCATGGGTAATTCAGTTCATTGCCTGGGCCTTTTGGTTGAAATCTGTCATTCATTTTTTTAGGTCTTACCACCATGACATGGCAATGTGATTTTTTTCCCAGGAAGTGAAGCTGCCATGACTGATATCAAGATCAGACATGCTTGTCCAAATGTTCTATATATATCATCTTCTCCATCCCTCAAGTCAACAATCTGTGGATTAGGTAACATCAGTTATGCTCTTCCAGGATTGGTTTGAATTTTGCATATATCATCCTTTATTCCAGAATATTTTATCCATGTTATAAAATGTAACAGGAGATTAACAGCATATTTAACATCCTATAAATGCTGAGCTTGTATAGTATCATAACTAGCATTGTTCTTTTCAGAGAAATATGCATATATTTATCCTGATAATCACATTTTATTTCATACCATCATCTTTCATGGTTTCCATGGTTACCTCTCAAGAGCAGCTTGTCATTGGTCATATGTCTGTTTTGCAGGCCTCTGTGCTGTCAGCCTGCTGTTTTTCTTACAATGTGAGGGTGAGTATTTTCATTATCTGCAGATGGGCCCAGCTTTCCACTTTTGTGGTGTCATTGCAAGCAACCACATTTTTTTGTATGGTTCCTTATTTCATTGCTTCCATCCTGATTGCAGGAATACTGTGTAAGGCCTTGTGTTCAATCCCACCTTTGTCTGTAGTGGTTTTCTCAGGAAATATGTGGCATGTGTCCAGAGCCTGCCATGGTTGGCCCATTTTGGGTCTGGAACAAACCTATAGTATCCTACCAGATGTAAGGCTAGCATTACTTTGCTGTAGTTCCAAACTGCAGGGTTTTTATTGCATCATGCAACTTAATGCTGTCATTACTTGCAACAAGGATGAAAAGTATAGCAAGTGTTGTCATCTTCAGAGTGTACGCTGGCATCAGTGGCATTCACGGCGGCCCTGCTGGGAGCTGGCCTATCTGAGCTCGGCGAGTGGGAGGTGAGACGCGCTTCCTGGCCGCGGGCACCCGCCCTCCAGCCAGGGCTGGCGGGAACCACCGCTGCTGCGGGGTCCGACTTGGCGGCACAGTCTCCGTCTGCGGCGGCACAGCGCCGTCTCTCGGCGCTGTAGCCCCTTGGCGGCACAGTCTCCGTCTGCGGCGGCACAGCGCCGTCTCTCGGCGCTGTAGCCCCTTGCCTCCGGCCGGTTCCATCGCGCGAGATTTGGTACTGGCACGCGACCAGAAAAAAACAGCCAGTGGATGTTCCAGAAGGATGGCTTTATATCATACCATGATCATGCAACCAGGTCGAAGCACAGCACCATGCCCGTCCCATGCTCACGAACGCTTTGGGTGAACCTTATGGTGAGGCATGTCTAGAAAAATCAAACAATCCTATTTCTGGCGTCTGTGCTGAATTCAGCAGGCATGGGGTTGGCGCGAGATTGAACACGCCGACAGTAGCCACACGCCGGAGGATGGGGAGGGGGGGAGGGGGCGTTCGCGCCCGCTCGCGATCCCATCTCGAGTCACTTCAGGCGCTCTATGTTTGCCCTTGACAGATGCGGCCTGCGGCCGGTGGCGGCGGCCGAGTTAAAGGCCATGCGATGTCAGAGGGCGGGGCGGACTGTGTCGAGCATTACGGCACGACAAACTTTCGCCGCGACATGTTGCCGCTGACTTGGAATTCTGCCATCGGATGGCTGGGTTTAAGGCTCACAAAGCAAGTGCTGCGTAGGATGCGCTGTGGTCACGGCATCCATCCATTTCAAAGGCTCAGACTATTGTTTTTAAGTTAATAATCACTTCAAAACGTGGTGAACGCCCTGCGCAGCATGAGTCTGTGTTCCTGTGATCGAGGCGAACCGTGCCGCCATGTGACGGCCTGGCGCTGACGGCTGGCCATGAGGCGCTGGCCGCGCCTCCGCCGCGTGCGCGGCGCGTGCTGACCGCCCGCTGGGGTCGGCCGGCCTGGGCGCGGCGCCGCGCTGGCCTCCTGACCTTATGACCCGTGCCGCAGGACGTGATCACCGACCGCAGCTCCGGCCAGCTGGTCATGTGTCACCGGAGCTGGCACGAGCGGCTGATGTCGCACACGTGCCGCACCAGCGTCACGCCGCTGACCCAGGTCAGTGTCACCACCAGTTGGTGCCATCAGTGTCACGTGACAGCTAACGCAGGCGATCTAACGCCCCGTCAGTGTCCAGCTGTCCCAAGTCAGCGTCGTTTCATCGCCCCGCGGCTTACGCAGGCTTGCGTCACCAGTCTCCGCTAGCGTGACCGCCGCGCCTTCCCGTGTCGCCTCGGCCAAGCTGCAGTGCTTGCTTGTGTCGCCAGGTGTCGGGCGTGTGTCTGATGACCGCGGGCCGTGGCTGGCGTGGCGTCTGCTTGGCGCCCTGTCTGCGCCTGCGCACGGGAGGAGCGACGCCTCTCTTCAGGCGCAGCTTTCCTCCTGGACGTCAGGCGTGAGATACGACCGCCGCCGCTGCGGGCCGACTGGGCAGCCAGCGGGATGGAAACACACGGCCAGATGTGGTGGAGGGTTTCATTTGGACCAGACACTGCTTTGGCGAGCGTCAGCCCGTTTTGTGAGACGTGAGGCTGGTCGGACTTGCCCTTACTCGGCCACTGTCCGGGTGGTGTGTAACGGATGCTCAATGGTTTGCCAGGTAGCAACGCACTACGAGGAAGCCAGCGACAGCCGCGCTATCTCGGATCCCGCGATATTGCACCTGAATGTATCTTGTATTCGCATTTGCTCTTGATGCCTTCAGTTTGCCTCGCTCTTGGGAGCAGTGGACGCCTCGTAACGCGTGCGCCTCTGCGCCCTGCACCGCTGCCGGCTGTGAGCGCGCCTCCTCCGCCGGCAGGGAGCTGCGGGCGCTGATCGATCAGCTGACAACGTTCCTGGGACTGGCGCGGCTGCAGTCGGTGGAGGGCGAGCCGACCGACTGGGAGCTGGAGCTGGAGCCGGAGCTGGAGCCGGAGCCGGTCACCACTCTGGAGAGCCAGTCCAAGGCCATTCGGCTGCTGCTCGCAGACAAGGCCTGCACCGAGCCGTGAAGTCACGTGCGGGATGACGCAGTCTGCGGTGACGTCATGCACAGGGTGACGCATCGGACTGCGGCCAATGGGACGTGATATCGGGTCGTGACGTCAGACCTCGGGTGATGTCATATGGAGCACGCCCAGGGTGACACCATGCCCATCTTTGGCTTCAAGAGTAGTGTGTTAGGACGTTTTCAGGCCGACTTTACATAGAGTGGTGACATTTTCAGGGTGACCAAGCAGTGACGTCATACGCGTGACATCATACCTGGTGTGGTGTGGCCCCAAGGTGCCGCTGTCGGAGTGGCTCTGCGGTGGGGGTGGGGTAGGGAGGGGATGGGGGGAGGGGGGCAGGAAGGCCGTTCACTGCCGGCCTCATGCAGAAAGATGATGTCAATGACATCATTTGTATTTCCGCCGGCTCTGCTCAGGTCAAGAGCTGAGTCGAGTCGAGAGCGAAGACGGCGGCGAAACGTCGGATAGGGCGTGGCTTTAACGCATCGCGTAGGAGATTGTGCTGTGTTCGAAACATAACATTAAGGTCGTGTCCGTGTGGCCTCCCATACCGACTGTCTTGTCGCCAAGAAGTTAGCCAAGTTGTCCTGACGTGAGGTAGCGTCCGATGCGGGAAGTGATGGGCCTCTGATGCCCGTCCGATGCGGCCTGTGATGGCCCTCGTCGCTTGGCTCG